TTCCTTGACTGCTGCCCAGGGTCTATCTTCGGATGGTCGCAGCTGCCGAAATTGATCTCCTCCTCACCTGTTCTCAGCAGAGGGGACCTTGCGGAGTTCCTGTCAGAAGAGGCACGTTTTGGTGACTTTTCCAATAATGGGGACGCTGGTGCTGACTCCCACGCTGTCAGCTCTGATCAAGTGGCTGGCTAGTGAGTGGCTCCTTCTGGCCGAGAATCAGGGCGCAAACAGCTCTGGCGGGAGAACCTAGAGGCATTGGGGGGAGGAGGGGGCAGCCTCTCTGTGCGCATTTGGCCAGCAAATCCTGCCTTGATCAGCTCCACAAGCCAGATTTAAGAAATAGTAAAATTTTCCCCCCCAAAAGCCACTCCTGGGGCCACAGGAAGCCCCTGTGGCATTGATCCTCGACCCTCCTCACTTTCCTGAGCCTCACCCGAAGCCTAGTCCTTTGTTCCTAGTCAGGCCTGACAGTCGCGTCGGTTCTGAGTTCGTCAGAGACTTGACCCTGCCCGCCTCCATCACCGGTATTCATACAATAAACATGACCCTCATAGGCCTAGTACAGGGAATATGTGGGCACAGAACAGCAGGACGTGGGGTTCTGGAGCCCTAGTGCAGGGGACCTGGACTTGAAACTCTCGCAGAGACGTAGACTCTGAGGGTGCTTCTCCAGGACCCGGCTATCTGGGACTTCAGAGAGGAGAGAGGAGGGAGGCAGAGCTATTAGGGCAGAGCATGCGCAAGTGAGAAGAGATGGCGTCCCTGCGTCGCCATGGTTACGCTGACACACGGCCTCAGGCCATGGCTGCCGGGGCGCGCGGAAGCTGGGGGTGCCCCCCATCACAGAATACAGCCCCTGCGGTGAGGGCTGGGATGGGGTCAGAACTGGCACTGCTAGAGTCCCCGGGGATGGGAAGCTGCAGACCTGAACCTAAACCCTGGAGAGTGGGGGGGGCGTGAGGAGACCGACCCCAATTTCAGAGAAAGATTCGAGCAAGTGGGGATTTCATAGGGACCACGGTCTCCATCGGGTTAGGGGTGAACCTGCGGGGGTGGCTGGGGCCCCATCTCTTTTCCTTCTGCCTGTCTCCCCTGCTGCAGCCCTGGGTGACCGTTCTGCAGCCTCTCCCCTGGGTCCTCTCACCCGCGCCCCCGCAGCCAGGGAGCGTGAAGGAAGGTGAGATTGGGGGTCTGTCCCCTCCCTTCCCTGACGACGCCTCCTTGTCTCCACCCTGCACATTTTCTGGGTACCTGTGCACTGCCCTCCATTCCAGGGTCAGAGGATTGGGGGTCTGGGCGGGGAGGGAGGCCAGTGGGAGGGCGTGGACTTGCTGAACCGCTGCCCCCAGACCTGCTGGAGCTGATGCTGCTGCAGAACGCGCAGATGAACCAGGTGCTGCTCGGTCGCCTGGTGGCGGGGGCGCTGACCCCCGAGCCCTCCACAGCCCCCCAGGTGCGTAGGCCGACGCATGGGGGGGTATCTGAGTCATCTAGGGTCACTGCGCTCACCTAGAGGAAAGACTGGGCGTCCCTAGAGCAAACTGCGGGGAAGCTGGTGCATACCCTCTGGGCTTGGTCATCTTCCAGGGCCTATGTCAGACTTCATGGGGTCCCCAAGCCCAGCCCACCCAGGCCTTTCATCGCCCCTCTCAGTGGACTGCAGGCCTAGAGAAAGCAGGCCCACTGTGCCGTAGTGCCTGGCACTGTACATGACACTTCCTAGGGGCGCCTAGATCCTTGCTGACAAGTGAAGGAATAGCACTGAATCCACGCCTGCATTAGCTGGGACTTGGGAATCCAAGTGAGCCCTGCTTGGGTGGGTGAGGATGACGAAAGAGAACCAAGTGGCACTTGGCCAACTCTTCAAAACCAGGTACAACTGTGTCGCTGAGAGGAGGCTGGTGGTGTATCCACCAACTGGGTGGCAGGGGCAGAATCAGGCTCCCGAGATGGGCCTGGAAGGCACATTCACCAGCGAGGTGCCCTGAAGGTTGGAGAGCAGGGTAGAGGGATGAAGGAGCAGGCCCAGGCCAGGGAAGCATGGGAAGGGCCTGGAACTGGAGGAAGGGCCCCATCAGGAACTGGAATGGCCAGAGGAACAAATGAAGAGCTGAGGTTGGCCCTGGTTCATGCGGTGGGGACAGGAGCCCCTGGCCTGGGCTCACAGGTCAGGAGAACCCAGGCTGGGCGGAAAGAGGAGGTCTGTTAAAGCGAGGGGTACCTGGAAAGGCTGGCCTGGGAGTCCAGCAGAGGGCATGCTGAGAGCTCCTGGACCCCATCACCATATCTGTATGAAATGGAAAACTGGACAGATGTGTTAACCCCTTCCTAGACCCTCAGGGCCCCTTGGGATGAGCACCATCTCAATGACCAGCACTGATGAGGGCGGGGCTCGGCTGAGGCCAGGCGCCCCTGGTGGAACGGGTCTAACTCTGGGATCCTGCTTGGATTCCTCAGTCCCTGCTCTGCCACTTATTAGCTGGGTGACCTCAGCCAAGATGCTCAACCTCTCTGAACCTCAGTTTCCCCACCAGCAAAATAAGGAACGAATGTCTCCCACTACCTTGCTCGTGTGACGTACCCACTCAATACATGGTAGCCACCGTTACAACATGGATCTGAAGAAATGCTTTTAGGGAGCAGTGGGGGGAGGGAGAGCCTGATTCTTTATCATTTCCGCCTCCCCAGGTCTTCCTGGAGGGTCCCCAAGAGGAGTGTGAGGAAGAGGAGGAGCTGGGAGAGCTGGAGGAGGGGCCAGTGGTGTTCCACCACCACTATCTGCCCGGCCCGCTGCCCCTCCTGGGCCCTCTGCTGCCCTGGCCAGCCCCTGTCCCCACCGGAGCCTCACATCAGCCTCCCCTGCAGGCCATCCCCAGTGTTCCACAACGCTCTCCTGCCCTGGGGAAGAGGGAAGTGTAAGTGAGGCTGGGGGTGAGCTAGGTGTTACCAGGATGGACTCTGCTGGGCTGGGACTGGAAGTGCCCACCAAAGGCTGGGGTGGTGGACGGGCCTGTGGAAGTAACTCCAGCAGCCACCCTGGGCTCTGATGGGCTGTGTCCTCCATCACAGGAGAGCTGTACCCCCACCCCCACCCCTCAGTGCCACCGGAACAGTGGGTGCAGATGTGCCCCCAGCTGCAGGTAGGGAGGGTCTGGGTGGGTGGGTGGTGGGGCCTAGGCCTAGGATGGATCAAGAGGTCAGATGCACTGGGGATTAGGGTCCTATCTCCCTGTGGGGTCCACTGAGGTAGGAGGGAGAGAAGACGAGGCTGCTGTGTTTCCCCTAGATTATTACGACACTGAGAGCCTTCTATGAGGACAGCTGCTGGCCCTGGACCCCCTGCCAACGTCATCACAGGGGCTCCCCACCCTTGTCGAGTGACTCAAGTCTACACTCATGTCCTTTGTGTGTGACCTCACCAGCCTGCTCTTCCAGATACATCAGTCCCCCTTGTACCCCACCTCAACCCTGGGCCCCAGAGCACACCCAGGGCCTGAAAGCCACATAAAACCCAATTCTGCTTCACAGTTTCCTGCCTGGGAACCAGCGCTCAACCCTCACCGTTTGGCTTCATCTCTGCTGTCAGGCCGCCAGGCCTCCTTTTGGCCTGATGATGGGGCAGGGAGCGAGGGGGGGCTCCACTTCTCCTTTCTTTCATAGCTCTCTGAAGGCCTAGAGTGGTGGGTAGAGGGGCCTAAAGCCAGGCAGGGAGAGGCCAGCCCAGGGAGGGGTCTGGGGCCTAGCCAGCACCCTTGGGGTGGCACCTTCACCCTAAGAAGCCAGCTTGGTTGGTAGAAGAGAGAGGTTGGAGCTGTGTCCTGCCTCCTCCATGCATGAAAGACTGCGGCCCTGGAGCCTGAGTGGGAACTGAGTGACCCTCTGCTCCGTGAAGGCATGGCGTCTCCTCACAGTCCTGGGGCAGCAGGTATGGGGAAGAGTCACCCAGGGCTGAGCAGGGACCTCCCAGGACCTGGGCTGGCGGAGCTTCTACATGGGTCCCGGTGGAGAGGTTGGGAGGGGCTGAGGAAGAGGAGTCCACACCTGCTGAGGCTGGCTGTTACCCCGGGAGAAGACACGGCGCACGAGGTTAAGTCCAGAAGTTTGTATTCGAACCAGAGAAGGAAATGGCTCCAGAGTCCTTGACGGCATGTCTACAGAGTTCTTCAGCCAAGGCTGGGCCACCACCCTGAGGAGCCACGCGGAGGTCCAGGGGCCGCCTTGACCACGGCCTGTGCCCGTGTCAGCTATGCCCGGTTGGTCCGGGACAGCCTCCGCCAGGCCGCACGCACCCCATAGGCACCTGTCCTCTTCTGGTGCCAGTGCTGGCCGAAGACAAAGCAGAACAGGACGGCCATTACAAAGAAGAACAGCAGTACCGATATGACCGAGACGATGATGACCATCTGATTGCCCTGGATGGGCTCTGTGGACAGAGGAGGCAGCCGTCTTAGAAGTTTTCTGGTCCCAGGAGAGCTGGCCACCACTCACCCACTCTGCAGTCACCCTGGGCTCGGAAATGGGAAGCGTCCCAAAAGAATCATCTAGAAGTGTGGGCCAGAGTCCCGGGTACCAGCAGGCCCGCTAGGCTGTGAGGACAGATGGCTCCTGGCACCAGTCCTGCTGGCACTAGTGTCCAGTTGCTGGGCACCATGCTGGACCAAGCCCCTCTCAGGGCAGAACAGAGTGAGCTTCATGCCAGGAACCCCCAACACTAGGAACACATGGACCAGTGAGAGTCATGAGAGAGCAGTTACAGAGGACCTGGAGGCCTCTCAGACCAAGTTCATTGTGAAGAGGAGCCAAGGCTACAAAGAGGAGGACGACTTGGTCAAGTTCAGCTCGTGGTGACTCCATGTGTTGGAGTACAGCTGTGCCCTACAGTGGCTGAGTCTGCGGAAGGAAGCCTTTCTGCTGGAATACCTGGGGTGGGCACAAATTTCCAGCCTTTCAATCGGCAGCTGAATACATTAATCATTATGCTCCGCCTGGAGACTCTTGGTCAAGGTCATAATGACCAAGCAACTTGGCTAGCTCTCCTGGCTTCTGGAGCAGCCAGGGTCCAAGTTGAAGACGTGGGAGGGAGTGTCTGGGAAAGGACAGAGTAAGAGGAAACCCTCCAGGGTTAAATATGGGGCCCCTGCTTCTAGTTAGCAGGGATCAGGGTTTCCCCCTGAAGGGCAGGGAGTGAACGTTCTCCCCAGCCCTGGCCTCCCACTCACCATAGATCTGCAGTGCTTGGGGCTCGGATGTTTTCTGGATGATGGTCCCACCGAGAGAGTGCAGGTCCAGTTCTGCCTGGCAGGAGAAGTTGTGATTGCTGTCCTCCCTGCGAGCCGTGACACTCAGGGTAACAACGGCCTCTTGGGGGTCAGACGTGGCATTCTGAAAGGTCTGGGTGCCCAGTATTTCCCTGTCTCGGAACAGGGTGAGGGTGAGGTTCTCGAGAGGAGCCACGTTGGGCACCCGGCACTCCAGAGTGAAGGATTTGCCCATGGCCACCCAGGTGGGCTGCAGCGTCAGGGTCACCTGATTTGGAGGGTCTGCAGGGGAGAGAAGGACAAGCTGTGGTCAGGGTCTGGGCACAGTCCCAGCAGCACACCACGGAGCCAGCAGTCTTCTCAGATCCCTGGCTGGGACTGAGGGGAAGAAGGAGGCTGGGGCCTGGCTGTTCTAGACTGTGGAGAAAGGAAGAAGGAAGCAGTTCAAGGTGAAGGATGCAGAGACGGTGGCTTTTATGATCTGATGGTGTCGGGGATGGAGAAAGTGGAGGTAATCAGGTGTCAACAGAGAAAAGTCCAGACACTACAGCCGGCTGGGAAGACAGGAGCCTGGGTCTGACTCCTTCCCCTCCACGGAGGCAACAGAAGTTTCAGAAAACCAGAGCAATGGAAAATTATGTTGGAAAAGACTTGGAAAAGTGGGTGAAGGGTGAGGTTCCCTACTTAAGAAGCAGGGACTGACATCAGGCAGGGGCTGGAGTGTCTTGGGTTCATGACCTGCCAGGCTTCCTCCTCAGACAGCACCTGGATTCTGTTGTATGTGTGTGTGTGTATGTGAATCTTCATGAGAGAACACACTACCTTCTCTTTTTCTCTTGGATCAGCTAGTGGGTTTGAACTGTCAGACTTTGGGTGAGCAGCCCAACAATGAATCTACTATTATGCCACCACAGCTCCCTGAGGGGAAGATGAAAACACCAGGTGAGATCTCAGCTTGCACTGGAGTGACGGGATCCTTGGAAGGCCAGCCCTGCTCTCCGGACACCCTGCTGCTGGGATGTGGGGCAGGGGCTGCTCTGGGGGTGGAGTGGGGCTGACCTGAGGGAAGACCAGGAATTCTGTCTGCGGCAGAGAATGACATCTGGGCTTGTGGATATTTGATTAGATTGGCCTCTTTCGAACAAGACTCAAGCATTGACGGCCTGTGTCTTCGTGGCCAGCAGGCTGAGGGAGTCCCATTAAGAGTGTGAACTGATCCAGGTCTGGGTCCTCCGCGTTGTCACCCCGGGGGGCTTAGGGAGGCTGGGCCATCAGGAGAGCACTCAGGGACAGGGAGCAGCTTCACCCACATTCAGATGGGGGCCCTGTGGTACGGTCAGTCAGGCACTCACAGAACACGGTGACACCGACGTCTTTGGACTTCTGCGCCCCGGCGCAGGTGAAGTGACAGTGGAGGACTGTCTCTTGGGAGATGTTTGAGACCAAGTATCGTTTCCACTGCGGCTGTTGGTCCAGCAGGGTCTTTTTTAGGGTGGTCTCCAGACCACCCGTGTCGGGCTGGGGACAACTTGTGCTACAGTTGATCTCCAAGGACCCTCTGGGCTCCACCAGCAGCTGCTCTGGCCACATGTTCACCTCGAACGCCTTCACAAGAGACCCTAGAAGATAAGAGGTGCTGGGGGGTCCACCTGGCGCAGGTGTCCCTGCTGCCCTGCCCTGCCCAGTAGAGCTGTCCCCAGCTGGTGACTTGGGTCAGGTCAGGAGCCCTGGGATGGTACACCCATCCAGGCCTTGTACCCCAAGTTGAGACGAAGGAGGGTCTTTTCTTAGGGCCCCACTGGGAGTAGGGTTACATTTTTTATTTTCCCCACAGCCAGCAAGACAATGCCCTTTGCTGTCCCAATGTCCCCAAAGCCACTTTTGAAAATGAAATGAGTTCATCTTCACCTCTGCCAGATCCCCAAATCCCTTCACTTCTTGAGGCCCCCACCCAGCCTACCAGTCAGTCTTGATAAGCCACACAGGCCTGACTCACCTGGTGCCTAAAAGGCCAGGCCCTGTCACAAGCTGCCCAGAGCCATGGGGACCCGAAGCCAATCTGCCCAGCATCCTGTACCCATGGCGTCCTTGCCAATGTGTTCAAAGCTTCCATCACTCTCAAGCTGCGACCTCTGGCTCTAACTTGAAGTCATGGGAGCCAGGCAGCCCCAACGAGGCCCTGTCACCCCACTCTTTGGGTAGGGACCCTTGGTGCCCACTTACCTGGACAGCAGAGCAGAGCAAGAAGGGACACGGTCAGGCACCAGCAACCAAAAAAGGACATCTCGGGAGGCGTCCACTGTGCCTGGGCTGAGGACTGCCTGGAGGGACGTGGAGGGCACGGGTCAGGGAGCAGCTGCCGGGCGCTGCAGCCGGGTCCCGCTCGGAGGTCCGGCTCCAGAGCTGTGACTGCATTTCCTCTCATTATCTGAGCGGGCCTGGGAAGCCACGTGCACTGGCAGGCACCCAGCAGGCCTATGAGGGTCCAGGAAGAGGAAGCTGGAAGCAGCCGATAAGCAGGAACATAAACGATACATGATATGCCCACCCCAGGCCGGGCGAGCAGAGGGCACACGCAGGATGCCTCCAAGTCTCAGCCCCTCATCACACAGGACACGCAGTCAGAGTGACACCCCTAAACCCCTAACCAAGCTCAGGCAGAGACAGAATGGAGCCTCTCTAGGGAAGACTTTGGGCACTCTGGTGGCTTAGTGGTAAGGAGTTGTGCTGCCAATGAAGAGGCTGTTGTTATGTGCCCTCGAGTTGTTTGCGACTCATAGCGACCCTGTGTACAACAGCCCTAAACCCTGCTCTGTCCTGTGCCAATCGCATTGCCTCTGACACACCCATCCCAATTACCCCAGTCACTGAATCAATCCACCTCATAGAGGGTCTTCCCCTCCTGTGCCGTCCCTCTACCCTACCAAGCATGATGTCCCTCTCCAAGGACCTGTCTCTCCATACAACATGTCCAAAGTATGTCAGACGAAGCCCCAGAATCCTTGGCTCCAAGGAGCAGCCTGGTTTAACCCTCTCTAGGATGAATCTGTTTGTTTTCTTGGCAGTCCATGGTACATTCAATACTTTTCTCCAGCACCACAGCTCAAAGGCGTCAATTCTCCTTCTATCCTCCCAGTTCAAATCTACCTGGTGCTCCTCAGGACAAAGCTGGGTAATCTGTTCCTGTGGGATTTACTGCCTCTAAAAACCCACTGGAAGGTCAGCGATGGATCAATTCTGACTCAAATATATACAATAAACAAAAGTAAAGACCTTAAGATACACTGTAGTGTGTTGCATGTTTGGCTGCTAAAGGAAGGTTCGATGGTTCAACTCCACCAGCCACTCCTTGTAAGAAAGATGGGCGTATCCTTCTGTAATGGAAACCTAACGGTGGTCACTATAAAGTGGAATTGAGCTGAGGGGCAGTGGATTTGGTTTCTTGGAGCTGATTTGGAAGTCCAACTCAGTTTTCACCCTAAATCTGAGGCAGATTTAACTCTTGAGACCCAGTGCCTCTGGAAATGCAGCCCATCATTGCCTCTAAGTGGCACTGCCTATCACTGACAAACTGACAAACCAGACCCACTGCTGTCATGGTAAGTCTGAATCAGAACTGCCTACTGTCACAGATTAAATTGTGTTGCCCCCAGAACATGTGTATATAATGATATAACGTGGAACAGTTGTAATAGGATTCTGCGTGGAGGGCAACACCTCTTAAGCCCATCACAATCCCATTTGCAATCTGATGAAAGGGGCATTTGTGAGGGAAGGTGCTTCAACGCCACACCAGGGAAGGCATTGTGGGCATCTCCAAGGAACGCCTGCTCTGTAGATGCTGAAGGAAACAGGACTGTCTTCCAAAATCACCACAAAGAGAGAGCCAGGGGCTTCCTCTCGCTCTGGCACCCTGACTTTGGACTCCTAGCCTCCTGAACTGTGAGAGCATAACTTTGGTACCTTGTGGTCCTTGTTAGAACAGCACTAGATAACGTCCTCTAGTTTTTAGCTAAATTCAGGATGCCCAGGTATCTTACTAGCTTCCTAATTCTTCTGCTGAAGACTCTTAAATACTGCCTGATACCTAGTTAGCTGACACCCCTCTAAACACAGCATTCCACACAATACATAGTCTCCTAACTTAGTGCAATCTACAAGTTACCCTGGTACAGCATTTGACAGACAAGTGCCTCCCGAGTGGGCGTCTGCCATCCTGATGAATATAAGGCTACCAGGAGTCAAACTCTAACAACAACAATGAATTAATGGAAATCCAAAGTCTCTGTAAATTTTTACTGAAATTAATAATAAATTTAAATAAAAAGAAAAGAAAAAAAAACCCCACACACCTCTAATCACAACCCCTTCTATTTCACCTGAGTAACCTCAGGTAAGTCACTCAGCTTCTCTGTGCCTCAGTTTCCCCTTCCATAAAGTAAGATTTACTAACAGAACCTTTCTCGTAGAGTTGCTGTGTGGGTTAAATGAGTTAATATTTTAAAACCTTTAAAATGACTAGCACACAGTATTCCTTCTACTTACTCTGGATGCTTCCTGCATCATCCAATATTTTGCTCACAGAATCCTTTGGTATTGCAATTTGAGGACTGAGTGTTTTTTCTATAGTTCTTTCAGCTAAAGGAATGCCAAGCATGTTATTCCCTTTTGGTTTTCTAGCTCATTGCCTTTGAATATTTCACTTTAACACTTCCCTTTGTTTTCTTGAGCTGACCTTTGAAAATCGTTTGTTCAATTTCCTTACATCATCATTTTTTACTTTCATTTTCTTTTTCCTTCATTCAACAGAAAGTTTCAGTCTCTTCTTCCTTTTTTATTAATTTTTATCAAAGTTTACAAATACTTAGGGTTTCCATTCATTCAGTGTTGCACTTCTCTCCCTGCCCACCCCAGAGTCTCTTCTGATATCCATTTTGGTCTTTCCTTTCCTGTCTTTTTAATGATATTTTGTTTTCTTCACATATGGTATTCTGGCTGTCATCATACCACTCATTTGGTTTTTGGTTGTTAGTGTTTAGTGCATCAAATCTATTCTTGATACAGTCTCTAAATTCAGGTGAGAAATACTGAAGGTAGTATTTTGACTCACGTGGCATATCTTCATTTTCTTCCGCTTCTATTTTAACTTGTAGATCAGCAATTGATGGTCTGTTCCATAGTAGACCCTTGGCCTTGTTTTGACTGTTGATATTGAACTTTTTCACTATCTCTTTCTATGAAAGGTAATCAATTTGATTTCTGTATTTTCCATCAGGTGAGGTCCACATGTATAGTTGCTGATTTTTTTAAAGGGATTTTTTTTTAAAAAGTGAATAAGTTATTAATTGTACAGGATTCTATCATACCATCTCTGACTTCATTTCTGTCACTAAAGCCACAATTTCCAACTACCAGCCATCTTTTGCTTCCAACTTTCATACTCGGTCATTATTAGTAAGTATTGATTGCATGACTGATCAATCTCACATTGCAAATATCAGCAAAAGGACTCAATTTCTTAATCTCTGCCTGTAGTAGTTGGTGTGTAAATTTGAATAACAGTTGTATTAGCAGGTCTTCTTGCATGAGAATGGATATTATCCTACCACTGACAGCACTGTCAGCGGCTCCTTAGGAGAAAGATGGGCAGGCTCCACCAGTGTGGTCTACAGCCTTGGACACACAGTGCAGGCCAGCTACGCATGGGTTCTGACTCCATGGAAACAGGCTTGGGTTGTGAGGTTTGGGCCCACCGTGAGTTTTTAACTGGACTCACAGGAACTCTCCATTGGGTGTCTGAGGTTGTCAATCTAGTGGGTTTGAATTGCTGCCTGAAAGGGCCACATTACTTGCTATGCCATCGGGACTCCTATTAGATACCAGAGATGGGGCGAAATGATCTTCTCAGTTACTTGTTATGCATGTCAAAGTTGGGACAATGATTAAAAGTGACAGAAGAAGAACTGATGCCTTTGAGGTGTGGTGTTGGAGAAGAGTACTGACTATCCCATGGCTACCAAGAGAACAAACAGGTCTGCTTTGGAGAAAGTGAAATCAAGGTGCTCCTTGGAGACCAGTGCAGTGAAACGTCATCTTACATACTTTGTACATGTTGTTAGGAGCAGCAGTCCTTGAGAAAGGACATCATGCTTAGAAAGGTGGAAGGTCACCGTGAGAGAGGAAGATCGTCAAGATGTATTAACACAGTGACTGTAGGTTGGAGATGCTGACGGTGCCAGACAGGGCAGGGTACAGATCCGTTGTTCATAGAGTCACTATGAGCCAGTCAAATTGATGGGACAGGAGAACTGATATTCCTGTCTATGTGATCCTATCACTCCAGTCTTGAGGTGGTTGTTGTTATGTGCCATCGAGTTGCTTGCAACTCATAGCAGCCCTCTGTACAAGAGCCCTAAACCCTGGTCTACGCTGTGCTACCCTCACTGTCTCTGACACACCCACTCCAATTACTCCAATCACTAAATCGATCCATCTCATCGAGAGTCTTCCTCTCCTCCGCTGCCCTCTACTCTCCCAAACATGATGTCCCTCTCCAAGGACTTGTCCCTCCTTGCAACATGTCCAAAATATGTCAGACGAAGCTTCAGAATCCTTGACTCCAAGGAGCAGCTTGGCTTCACCGTCTCCAGGACAAACCCGTTTGTTCTCCTAGCAGTCCATGGTATATTCAACACTCTTCTCCAGCACCACAGCCCAAAGGCATCTATTCTCTTTCTGTCATCCCTAGTCACTGTCCAGCTATCTTAAGCATAGCACACAACTACAAAGACTATACCCGCTATCAGGCGCACCTTAGTCTCCAGCCTGACAGTACTCTGGAGAGGTCCCTAATAGCTGACTTTCTCAATGCAATTCATCTCTTGATTTACTGGCTGCTGGTACTAAGAGTGCTGACTGTGGAGCCAAGCAAGCTAAAACTGTTAACTATCTCAATCTCTTCACCATAATGATGTTGCCAATTGGCCCAGTGGTGAGTATCTTTGTTTTCTTGATGTTGAGCTCTAATCCATATTGAAGGCTGCAGTCCTTCAATATATATATATATATAATTGTTGCTCCTAGAAATTTGGTATGCTGAGCCAATTTTACTATTTTTATGTAATTTATTAATTATACAATTTTATGGAATAGTCCATTACCCATATTCATTTAGACATGTTTAAAAAAAGAAGGCAAAAGGAAATGGAGAAAAAGAAAAAAACCAAAAAACCCAAGAAACACACACACACACACACACACACACACAAAAAGGCAAATAAAATT